AGACACCATATCACAGAAGATGGGCGTCGGGGGCCTGCCAAGGGGCCCATGGGGTAGGGGGATGCGCCCTCCACCCTCGTGGCTTACTGGTGGGCCCCCTCTGGTGCTTTCTTCGCCCAATACTTTTTATATATTTCAAAACTGATCTCCGTGAAGTTTCAGGACTTTTGGAGTTGTGCAGAATAGGTCTCTAATATTTGCTCCTTTTCCAGTCCAGAATTCCAGCTGTCGGCATTCTCCCTCTTCATGCAAACCTTATAAAATAAGAGAGAAAAGGCATAAGTATTGTGATATAATTTTTAATAACAACCCATAATGCAATAAATATTGATATAAAAGCATGATGCAAAATGGATGTATCAACTCCCCCAAGCTTAGACCTTGCTTTTCCTCAAACGGAAGCCGATATCAAAAAATATGTCCACATGTTTAGAGATTGAGGTGTCGATAAAATAAAATACGGACATGAGGGCATCATGATCATCTTTAGAACAGCAACATATATTGTCATATGATTTCTTATGCTAAAGTAACAATCCATTCACAATGTAAAGTATGAATCGAAAACTTCATTGAAAACCAACAAACTATGATCTCAGTCATTGAAGCAATTGCAATTTATCATAACATCAGAAAGAGTCAAAGAGATTTTTAATAAGTCCACATACTCAACTATCATTTAGTCTTTCACAATTGCTAACACTCACGCAATACTTATGGGTATAAAGTTTCAATCGGACACAGAGAAAGATAGAGGCTTATGGTTTCGCCTCCCAACCTTTTACCTCAAGGGTAATGTCAACAATAATACTTTATGAAAACCTACATCCAAGTGGATATATATATCCGGATCTCTCCAACACATAGTGCAAGGATAAAGTGTAAAAAGAAAAGGTGAAGATCACCATGACTCTTGTATGAAGGTAGAAGGTAAAAATAAAAGATAGGCCCTTCGCAGAGGGAAGCAGAGGTTGTCATGCGCTTTTATGGTTGAATGCACAAAATCTTAATGCAAAAGAACGCCACTTTATATTGCCACTTATGATAGGGACCTTTATTATGCAGTCCGTCACTTTTATTTCTTCCATATCACAAGCTCGTATAAAGCTTATTTTCTTCACACTAATAGATCATACATATTTAGAGAGCATTTTTATTGTTTGCACCGATGACAACTTACTTGAAGGATCTTACTCAATCCATAGGTAGGTATGGTGGACTCTCATGGCAAAACCGGGTTTAGGGATGTTTGGAAGCATAAGTAGTATCTCTACTTGGTGCAAAGAATTTTGCTAGCATGAGGGGGAAAGGCAAGCTCAACATGTTGGATGGTCCAAGACAATATAACTTCTTCGGATATAAGAAAACATAACCAATTACATTGTCTTCCTTGTCCAACATCGACTTTTTAGCACGCCATACTTTAATGAGTGCTCACAATCACAAAAGATGTCCAAGATAGTATATTTATATGTGAAAACCTCTCTTTCTTTATTACTTCCTATTAATTGCAACGATGACCAAAACTATGTTTGTCAACTCTCAATAAATTTTATTCATCATACTCTTTATATGCGAAGTCATTACTCTCCATAAGATCAATATGATATTTTTATTTCTTTTTATTCTTTCTTTAATTCCCTCCAGATCATAGCAAGATAGCAAACCCCTCAACTCAAAACTACTCTTTATTATATATAACTCACGGACTCGATTACATAGATAGAGATCAAGACAAAACTCAAAGCTAAATCATACTAAAACTTTATTCTACTGGATCAAGATATAACCAAAAGGATCGAATTAAAAAAATGATAAAGATAGAAGTGTGATGGTGATACGATACCGGGGCACCTCCCCCAAGCTTGGCAATTGCCAAGGGGAGTGCGCATACCCATGTATTTATGTCTCTTTCTTCGGAGGTGGTGATGATGGAGTTGTTGATGATGTAGACTTGTCGTCCATCTTCCAAGGCATAGGCTCACCATCATAGAAAAATGGATGAGTCTCCGGGATCCTCAAATCTGCAACCAAACTCATCCTCTTGAATCTATATTCATACTCACAGTTTTGATTTTGCAGGTCATAGATCTAGGCCTGGAGGTGCTCGATTTTCTCGTGAAGCTTGAATATGGCCTCCCCGATGTTCTTGGCATCCAGCTTGTGATTGTTGGTGAACTCCGCGATCATCATGTGATTGGCGTTGAGTCCACGTTCCACCATCCCTTGACACTTGAAAACTTGTTGCTCCATTGCTTCGAGTCTTGTCTTCATGCTTCCGGTCTTCTTCGGTCCCTCAACATCGTGGATGTGAAGCACCCCCTCATGCATCTCAATGGTTTGAGGGTGTTGCAGCACCTCCGTGAGGTAAGGGTTGATGACCTTCTCGAAAAACTTGTCCTTGGGGGCGCTTGGAGACGTCATGGTAATCTAGATCTGTTTGAAAAACAGCTCGAAACAAAGACAGAGGATTTTCTCGTGGTACGGTGGTCAAAACCTTCGGGATATTATATAATGAATTTTTACCTACCAAAAGAAGTATTGTGCAAGAAAACGGAGTCTGGAGGGCACACGAGGTGGCCACGAGGTAGGGGCGCGCCCTCCACCCTCGTGGTTGCCTCGTGTCTCTTTCGGACTGCTTTTAATTTTCCTAATTTTTGAAATATTCCAAAACAGAGAAAAATTGCTATTAGAACAGTTTTGGAGTCGGTTTACTTACCGTACCGCATACCTATTCCTTTTCGGAGTCTGAAACGTTCTGGAAAGTGTCCCTTATATACTCCTCTGGTGTTACGGTGTCAATTATATTGGTTTCAACATTTATGGGAGTACCTGAGATATAATGTTTGATTCTTTGACCATTTACCACCCTCTGACCTGTGCCTTCGGCGTTGTTGATTTTGATGGCACCGGAACTATAGACTTCCTCGATAATGTAAGGACAGAACAACACAGAAGAAGATGTTGAAGGGTGTCGCACCAATAGCCAACCAATTGCTATCCTTGGTAGAAATACCAACTATTAAGATCCGAGGAGAACTAACAGATATGATGACACAAACTCTCACAAACCCTTCATCGGCGTCGGATCGGACATCATCGAGGTAGGAGAGACCAGAGAGACCTTATTCAAACATGCCATCATTGCCACCACCTCATCAACACCGCTAGGGAAATAGAACCTAAGAGAAAGACAAATGAAATAGGCGGGTTCCCACTCCTCTTACCGCCAACGAGGCCGCCGGATAGGACAAAAGGAGGGGGCCGAGGCAACGACGGCTAGGATTGGAAAAACTTAGTATATGCAGCAAAAATGCCCTTAACCTCATATGAGGGTAGAGGCCACACATTCGGTTCTCAATTCAATTCTTCTTTTTCCTAATACAAGCATGAGTTTTGCCGAATTATGTCAAGAAGAGGCAAGATAATCTTAGAGTAGAGCTATGCCCATTTCCAATAGGTCAAGTAGATCATTTCTTTACAATTTTTAGCAGATCTTTTTAAAAGATTCGCCGTCTCACGAGACGTTAGATCGAGTGGAGTGAGCGGCTGAGGGTCACCCTCTACCATTGTAACAAACCTCGTGTTGTGGTAATTTTCTGCAACACAAGTCATGTTGCAGAAATTTTTGCAAACATAGGTCAAGTTGCAGATTGCTTTTTTTTTGCAACAGACGCCTTATTATAGTTTTTTTTGCAAAACATAGGTCATCTTGCAATATTTTTTTTGGAAAATGCTATCCCTCAGTCGACTGATGCACACGGAGCGCCCGCCGCCTGCGCAGCCGTCAGATCGATTTTGATTAAGCGCTCATGCTGGCCACCAGTCCCGTGCAACCAGTGTTTTTGCAACAAGCGTATTGTTTCAGAAGGTTTCTACAATAGAGGTCTTGTTTCAGAAAAAAAAATGGTTCGATGGTGAAGTTTTTTTCAGCAACAAGGTCTAGTTTTTGAAAGTTTCTGCAACAGAGGTCTTGTTTCAGAAAGAAAAAAATGGTTCGATGGTGAAGATTTTTTCTTCTGCAACATGGCTCTTGTTTCAGAAGCATATCCCTAGTTGCAGAAAGCGTCGGAGGAACGCCCGGTATTAGAGCATACAAGGCCAATCATTGCAACACGATGACTGTTTCGGAAACATAGCTCTAGTTGCAGAAATCACCAGAGGAGTGCCCGGTGTGAGAGCTCGTCGCCGTCGTGCTGGAGTAGAGGCAGTTGCTCGGGGTGCTGGGTCAAAGGAGGCGCGGCAACTCCGGCGGTCGGCGGCGCTCCACAGCCGAGGCGCTCAGGCCATGGCGGGGCCGTGTTGTCTCGGTGGACCTTAGCAGGCCTTGTTGCAAAGCCCCTGAGCGCAACAAGCTAGTTGTTGCAAAGGTCCTTGGTTGGCTGGGACGGTAGATCAGATGACTATTTCTAGCAGCATTCGACGGCTGCCGAGGCGGCTGATCTAACCAGTTTATCACCTGGCGGACGTGTAGCACTGCCCATTTTTTTGCATTAGAGGTTTTGTATAACTTTTTTTTGCAACAGAGGTCTTGCTGCAATTTAATTATTTTGTAACAGAGGTCTTGTTTTTTTTTTTGCAACAGAAGCCTTGTTGCAGAAATAAGAGATTGTGGGGAGCCAGGTCCACCATGTCACATAGGACGCGTGGTGTGCAACCAAGGCGGCGGATGCGAGCATGATAATCCGTTAGTTGAACTGTATCGTAGTGGTGGCCATGGGGCACGTGGCATGGAGAGAAGGCGGTTGACGCGGGACTATGATCCGTCGGGTGATTTATAGCGTTTCCCTTTAATAGGGGTTGTATGTGTAGAGGAATCCACGGAAGCGTATTCTTACATTGCACAAATCAAACAATGTTTACGCTTTCGAGGCAACGGAAGCCGAGCACGCAAACAGAGTTGCCCTTTGCCATGACCGGGAGACTCAAAGCCGACCGACCGACTTCACGCGGCGACTGGTCGAAGGTGGCACCAAACCAACTGCCGAAACCTGGTTCGAATGGGTTCTTCCTCGAGCAACGCCAGGGAAGCGGCGGCGGCGGCGCCACCGCCACCACCTCCTCCTCCTGCTGTGCCGCCGGCCCCTCTCCACGCGATGGACGCGGACGAGGACGACGAGAGCGTGAAGCAGCTCAACGAGTGCGCCGCCCTCTACCTCTCCCTCCAGGCACCGCCCTGACCCCCCCTCGCCTTCTCCCCCCTTTCCTGATTTCTGCTGCGGCACCCGAATCTCTTCTTTGCTCCATCATACCTTTGATTCGGCTCTTCCCTGGCTTGTTTGCAGGACTGCCTCGCCGAGTCCGACCGCAACTGGAAGGCCTGCCAAGCACGTAAGCACCGCCGCAGATTTTCCCCCCTCGTCTTTTCTTCCTCGTAGATGCCAATCCCGTTGCGGCTTACTGAGGTTGCTACCCACCCTGCTTCTGGGGCTAAGTTTGCTGTCCAATGGTTTGGAATTAGGCAAAACCTGGACCTGCTTTAAGTATCACGATCGAGATTCAGATTGAACTACCTTTGAAGCAAAAACTGTAAAGGTTGTTGTATGTAGTACAGATGTGAATTCAGAAATCCTTATAATTCCTCATTTTATAAAGTTCTATCTTGAAGAGAAGCAATGCTGTATGGGATAGAAGAAATGTTGATACCTTCTCTTGCTCTATCACATTGCCCAGTTTAGCGTTGTTATGGTCAGTACTAGCATACGAAATGCTGAACACTTTTCAAAAAAATAAAGAAATGCTGAAATGCTACCCAGAACCAGAACCATCCAAGATAAATCATGAAGTAACGACGTCTTCTGGCATGTGTGGTGCCAGTTATATGACTACAGGTGCTGAAATTCATCATGTTTGTGCTTGACAATAACGTGTGGCATCCTACATTCAATTTTTAAAAGAAGTTGATCATGCATGAGGCTTTCTCCCATGTTCATCAGCATCAGGCATTAAGGTTAAATTTAGAACCCATCTCGTATCATGTTCGAGATTATATAGAAATGGTACTAGTAACAATAACTTGCAGCCACATGTGGTTTTATTGTGTATGGGAGATTTGTTGCCATAAGGTGATGTTCACTCAAGGGGCAACCCAAGGGGAGATGTTGCGATTTCAGGTACCTTATGTGGTGCTCAAATAAATGGACAAATGTAGCTTTTTTTAAGGAAGAAGAGAGGGAGGTTCCTGCTTTGATGGTTATATTCGTACATATTTTTCTGTTATCTTCTACACTAAATCGGTACTTGGGGCTTGCATTATTGACAGTATATACTGACCGCCGGCTAAGGGGCTTGCATTACATGTGTAAATTCTAGCTTGTTGCAAAGCCCCTGAGCGCAACAAGCTAGAATTTACAAATGTAGCAGGCCTACAATAACGTTCACAAACTGAAGTTGTCATCACTTCAAATTCTTAGATGTGATCTAACCAGCCTTTTTGTCACCTCCGGTCAAATGCAGATGTTCAAGCCTTGAAAGCATGTGAGGCGAGCAGAAACAAAAATCAGGAAACATGAAATACTTTCATGCACCTTCGTACAGGTACATAAGCATACTACATAACCACATATACATTATTGTCAAGCATAAACATGATGAATTTGCTTTCGTATCTAGTACTCCCTCCGTTCCTAAATATTTATCTTTTTAGACATTTCAAATGGACTACCATATACGGATGTATATAGACAAATTTTAGAGTGTAGATTCACTCACTTTGCTCCGTATGTGGTCACTTGTTGAAATCTCTAGAAAGACAAATATTTAGGAATGGAGGGAGTACATGAGTAAAGCTTATGAAACCTAGTAGTGCACTTTGTTTCCAAATATTATGCTATTGCTTTTGCTGTTGGCATCAAACTGAAACTGTATATTTGCTTTCATATCTCAGGCTGCATGCTGAAGGCATCTCACACATATCATCTTCGTGAAGACAAAAGCACAACGTGTTGAGTTCTCAGTTGTCGATGGAGAATATTTGCAACATCACAAATTGTAGTGTGCTTTGACCGAGGCATGGACGATCAGATTGCTTTTATTTGCAACAACTACTACACTAGATTGGATGTTTCAAATATTACTTGTCATTTCTAATAAATGTCGGCAGTTTTGATATATTTGCCAAACAGACTATTAACGCGAATCAAAGTATTATTGCTGCACAGGAACTGGTTTATTGCGGATAATCACTAAGATAATATGTTGGGCACAAAGGGAAACAACGTCAGCTGCATTCTTCAGGCGGCTTTATTTTTAAATGTACAGCTCACTATTAATTTCCACAGGGAAAACAAAACCTAGAATTTACACATGTAACAGTATATACTGCCAATATTAGCAGCAAGCATCGGTACTTGGGGCTTGCATTATTGACAAAGTACTGAGTTTCTGACATCCAGTAGTCACTATGATGGTTGCACAAAAGGTTTTGTTTCCATTTCTCATATAGATGTTCATCAGCTCAGTCAACTAGCCTCTTCAGAGGCCGGAACGAACTTGAGTGAGATACTGTTGACGCAGTGTCGCTCATCAGTCGGCGTGTTGAACCCCTCCCCTTTGAACACATGCCCCAGATGTCCTTCACAAGCAGCACATGTGATCTCAATGCGCCTCCCATCAGGATCCGCCTATAGAGTATTAAGCGAAGAAATGTCACCGCCGTCAGCATCAGGGCATGGAATGCATAGAGGAGAAGAAAGGCATCGGTTCCTAGTCAAACCACTGGGAATGGATGAGAGAATCGTACCGTCCGTTTTATGGTTCCAGGAAATCCTTCATAGAATGCTGGCCAACCACACCCTGAGTTGAACTTCGTAGATGATTTGTACAAGGGGGTTCCGCAGCCAGCACATCCGTAAATACCCTCATCGAAGAACTTGTCATATTCACCTGTTCCAGGAAACCTGAAACAAATATAGTCAAATGAAAATTTATCACAACGGAAGCTCATTTATTTTTCACAGTTACGCTATTGTTAGTTTAACAGACTACCATATGTAAGATGGCAGACAAGTATTTTTTTTCTTTTCGAAACGGAACCATAGGCAAGTATATAGGGCAGCACAAAATGCTGGAGTTGATGTAGGATATGGACTAGATACAGTCAGCTCACATGCCATTCCAGTATCAAACTAAACTTATGTATGTATCTGGTTGAATTGCAGGTTCCAGATTAATCAACAGTACAATCTACAAAAACAATGTGAAGTAATAATTGATTTTTGATAAAGTGCCTATCCATATTTCTCAAGCTTCATATTATAAATTACTAGATATTCTGATAGTTCACCTAATGAACCTGTCCGTGCTTCAAGAACAGGTAAAATTTGAACTTGCTATACTTGACCGTGTCGGCGATACATAAACAGATCTGTTAAGAAAAGTACAATACATACTAACGAAATCTAGCTGCTGCTATTGTAGACTAGAATGTTATTAGAATAAAATATTTTGTAGTTTCTACTCTTGACAGCAAAATTAAAAAGACCCAAGTATATTTTTTGTTGGGTAGCATTTTTATCCTTCTGATTTATTTTTGTCAAAACAACCTTTTTACTTGCTATTTTGGATTCATACAATCATTTGTGCAAGCGGTTCTCCAACTTTGTGGAAAAGAAACTTCTAATTCGTTCTCAAATTGGTTGTCTGGAATTTGGTTGTGGTTTTGGAATAAGCCTAGCCTCAGGAGGTGGTAACAGACAATACACTAATTTCACTATAACAACTTTACACACCCTTGTTATGTGGTCGTTCGGAGTAGTGAAATTAGGAAGGTACTGTTATGTGTCATGTTGGAGTATAACGACCACATAATGTCAATTGCTAGACTCGTTCCCAATGTCATGTTGGAGTATAATGCTTTATTAACTGATTAATAAAAACATGCGCAGTAGGAAGGTACACACTAAAGACTGGGAAAAGGGTCTAAATGCTAGAGACACCAATCTGGCAGTCATGTTGTCCTGTTTCAATAAGAAAACACAGTACAGTAGTACACGACTTCATCTTGTGAACAACCATCCGTATGCATTGCGATAGTAACATGGCTTGATATTCATGAAAAATGGTGTATCTAGATTCTAAAGACACCAATCTGTCAGTCTTGTTTCAATAAGAAAGCACACTGCATGACTGGAACAATCCTGTGAGCCAAGTTGCAATTGCTATGCAGGATAAGAAGAGGACAAACTTGCACTATCAGATAAAAGGGATTTTCTTGACTCTTGCTTTCTAACTGCTTCAGAAGTTTTTGCAAACCAGACAATGTTTGTGACCTGTCGAATCATCGATGCACTGCAACTAGGATAGGGCTTGTGGTAGTGTGCATGCCAGTACTGGTGGCAACCCAGGTTAGTTAGACATGTTCAAGTACGGTTCAGTACATACTGATTCGCAGTTGATCACACTGACGAATTGATGTGTAAATTTACAATGAAAATGGAGCATTGTTTGTTGATCGGAACAGACAGCCATGATACCATCATATTCTTTGTATGGTAAAAGCGCAGAGCGCACCCACATAATCAATTCCACGAGGAAAAAAGATACTCCCTCGGTCCGGAAATACTTGTCGGAGTATAGATGAAAGCATGTACTGCTGCTGTTCTTACTCGGTGCCCTTGCGGCGGAGGATGCGGAACTGCTCCGGCGTGAGGACGGCCTCCCACTCCTCCTCCGACTTCTGCACGGGCCCCGGCGTGGGCGCCGACGAAGACATCGCCACCACGGAGCCCGGCAACCGTCGTCTGGCTGGGCAGTAGGCCCGCGCCCGCGGCCGCGAGCACGAGAGGGGGAGGGAGAGGGAGGCGGGTCGGGCGGACGACGCGGCGGTGGCGGCGGCGGAGGGGGAGCGGGCTAGGAGGAGGGACGGGAGCGCGGAGAGGGGCCGCGTGGCGGGGTGGGCGTGGGGGGACGCCATCCTCAGCTTGAGCAGATGCTGGACTCCGCCCATTTCCCTTTCTCCTTTTCAGGCAGCTGTGGCGCAAGGGGGGAAGGGATCCCCGTTCGTTTTCTGATAAGGTTCTGACCTGAAAGGCAGGAATTTCACATAGAACGGGCCAGCTCTGCTCGGTTGGCACTTGGCAGCAATTTCTCCAGATGGACTGGCTACTGGAACTGAAATGTTTCCGGCACAATTCTTTGCTGCAGAGGATCCAGTTTTGCGATGGAAACGCACCATATTCCAAACCAAACGGCGCCAGCAGCAGCAGCCTGACTAGTAACTCTGGAGTATCCACTATCTGGAGACTGGAGTGACGGACTTCTCCTCTCCAGGCATTCTGAAAGGGGGATCCGCGACTTTGGTGTTCAACAGGAGACAAGTTTTATAAGCCACAACACCTAGTATGCATTGCGGACTTTTTAAAGCCATCTCTGCGATCTTTATCAGTTCTCGACAACATAGTCAGAATCTTGATGCCAACATCCCTCTCCACTGCATAGTCGTAGTCCAGTGAAATAAACTCAATCGTGAAGAAAAAGGTGTATATCATAAGAAAATTACAAGGTCAACTAGAAAAGAGACAAGGTGACACCAAAAATTAACATGCATTGCATTGGACGACCAACAGGTGGCATTGAGAGGAGGTTCATATCTCAATTCTGACTGGGGATGTCAGATTTATAACAGCACAATTTGTTCATTGTTTGCTCGGGTTCTTGCAAATGCAGTGGGTCATAATGCAGATTCACATTCAGAAACGTGCAAACTGTCTATATGATATAACTTTAAGTTTACAGTATATCTAGGCATACATGAGAAAGATGGCTGCAAAATGTGTTCCCATATGAAAATGCCAAATGTGTCGGTAACAAGGATGGATGCTACATCATTTCCCAGTTAAACAAGCACTGTGTGAAATATCTGAATATATCAGACCTCTAAGCTACAATTTGATTATATCCAGCATTTGGTTTATCAAGCACATCCTTCAAAAATGACAGTCTAGTGATCACTACTGCATCATATACAACAGAGCATCAAGCTCAAGACATAAATGCAAGTTTGTCAGCTAACAATTGATACTAGATACTACGAACTGGGAAGGATATCATTCGATGAACTCGTCGTCAGTCTCATCATAATCGCTATCCTCTTCCATATCCTCATCATCCTCATCTTGTACTTGCTCCACGAACCTATCTTTGTCGAAGGAATTATCATCCTCCATTTCTTCAACACCAATTGTGTCATACTTCATACGCTCATCAAATTTCGCATCAGAGCAGTTGAGCAGCCATGCGAGAGAGCATGTGAACCCCTTTTTAGCCACAATCCCATGCCGATATCTTATAGTGGATTCGAGGCCATATGTAAAGAATGCCGGGAACTCAACCAGCTCCTCCAAATCCCTCTCCATTTCATTCTTAAAGTACTCGAAGTTCATCTTCATTATATCCATGTTCAGTGCCAGCAATTGGGGGCACCCCACGACCATCTTGCTGACCTGAGACAGCAAGAAGCCACATCCTGTGAGGAAGTTGACATGCTTTAGAACCGCAGCTCGCCCAAGGCTAATGGCTTGTGGCATCCTCTCGATGACTCTTCCGAAATCATCACCACTGACCAAAATGCTGGACTCAAACAAGCTCTGCTGCTCAACAAGCTTCTCTCGCAGCTCAACTCCAAGAACATCAGGGTACTGTATCACAATGGATGCCAGCGCCTCCCTCCTGACCCCAAACTCCAGAAGTGCCTCAATGTTAGGCTTGACCCTTTCCTCCAACCCAAACCCAAGGACATACGGCTTCTTCTCGATCATTCTTGCAACGGCCAGCCTCTGCAGGCCAATGCCTTGAAGGTGTTCGACGAAAGGTTTTATGATCTTCCCCACCCGCATGCCCAGCACCTCAGGGAAACGCGTGATGACGCCGCCGATCTGCCGCCTGGCGACGCCGATGCCGACGAGGTAGGCGACGGAGGTGCTCATGGTGCCCTCGAGCTTGAAGCCGAGGAGCTCCGGGTATCGCTCGAGCACGCGCGGCACGTCGCCGGGCTTGACGTCCATCCCCTGGAGGTACTTGACGACGGGCGCGAGGTCGACGACGATGCTGGCGTGGAGCACCTGCGGGTAGCGGCGGAGCAGGTGCGGGAGCTCGTCGCGGCGGACGCCGATCTTGCCGAGGTAGTCGAGGACGGGGACCATGTTCTTGCGGACGCTGCAGCCGAGGGCGAGCGGGTAGGCGGCGAGGTCGTCGGGGCCGAGGCCGAGGGAGCGGAGGAACTCGACGCGCTCCCGCATGACGTCGACGGTGACGGGGAGCTCGAGGCCGGCGAGCTCGCCCGGGTCGACGCCGAGGGAGACGAGGAAGGCGTCGA